TTAATCTCATTAGTTCTATCGACAATATGTGGAATTCGATAAATACTTGGTAAGTATTTATTTTGTTTCCAGTGAAGAAGACGTACTTTGAACTGACTACATCGACCAATCGTCCGTAGTTCAAGCGAAATTTCATTCCATAGTTTGTACGTTGTTCGTATGAATGATTTCTGGAATACTTGTAAACCCCTTGTGAGTGTTGGTAGCTTACATAGAGTACGACTACGTAAATTGTGAGAATGAGTAGTGGTATCAGCAGATACCAACTCAGTTAATCCAATAGGGGCTTTCCGATGCATAATCTTGTGTAATCTGTATTGAATCAGTATTACACACCAAAAGTACGTGAGCCTACTGTATTACGAGAACGCGTGGTCTTGAAGGTCCCATTTTATATACAACGAGTAACAGAGTCACATTGTGTTACCCGATCAAAAACAGGCTGTTCATCTAGACTTCGGACAACCTCAGCCCTCGAACTAAATATAATTGAGGAAACTGTTGAGCAACTCTGCTGTAAAAAGAACAATAATAAAAGAAAATATAACTCAGTTTATGTTGCAAAATCAGCTATCGGTAAGCATTACTCTAATACTGTACATGTAATTACAGGTAATAACTTTGAAATTGTTTTACGAGAAAAACAAAGGTATAAGTTGCTGGTTAAGGAATCGTTAATCATTCGGGCTAGTTTACCCATGCTTAATGGTACTGACCGTTCGATACCACTGTGCGTGTATTCTGAAGGGGTAATATCAAATCTCTGGGATAGAAAAAGAATTCCTAGGAAAGGTGTTGGAGGCTAGTACAGTATTATCTCTCTCATATACTTTAATTCAATTTTTGTTCAGTAGGTTTTATCTTTACATGACTCAACACTATCGTTTTAAAATTTCTTTTCAATTCAACTTATTCTTTATAGTAAAATAAAATATACATAAACAAAATTCTCCATATATCATAATCTCGTTCTCTTTCTTTCTTCTCTCCTCGTCATGCACATGGAATTTCAGTCTTTTTTGTAATGTGTGTGCCTAGATTAGAAAAACACTAGATATATATATAATCAGTTATTTTTGTTTTCAATTTTATGTAACATCCTGTACGAAGAGAAACTTGAAAATGACCGTATTAATAGGTCGAAATATCGAATTATAATTTTAATGTTTTAGTTTTAATTGTTTAATTTTTATTATTTGATTAAAAACTTTTTATTAAAATTCTTAACGTGATAGGTTTTAAAATTTTTATTTTTAAAGTTGAATGATTTTTCTGTTTTCTTATGTAAAGGATGCTTAACACGAAGTGTCTGTATCAGTAACGCAACCGAAGTATGAAACCGAATGTTTCACTATACTTCGCAGTAGAAAATACTTATGTTAATGGTTCTCCCACTAACTGTCGTTATTATTCATTGTTGTGTATTGTTCTTTTATAAATATAAAGATAATCGGAAAAGGATCATACAACAGTAATGAAAGAACACAAATAAAACATATTCCTTTCCAAAAAATAGGAGAGGAGAAAATAAAAAATATTGATGGAATAACTGTCAGAGAAAGAAAAAATGTTGTCCTTGAAGCAAGCATTTGTGTTTATGCCAGAATATGTGTTTTGGAATGTATGTGCACTAAGCGTTTTCTACGTATCGTGGTACCATCGTTATAATATTATTTGTGTCCCAGTGAATATCAGTACAGAATATTAAATATGTACTATAATACTGCCGAGGAAAAACTCAACGAGAATTCAGCAGAGGATCGTCCTAGTGAAATGATTCTAGATGCACATCGAACCCAAAAAGTGCACACCGTTGATGATGATAATCTAAACTGTTGTTTGAAATGGTGGCATCAAGGTTTTTCACATCAACGTCATATTTGTCATGTAGTAGAACAAACATATTTTCATTTACTTATTAGATCATATTCAGATAAGACTGTACACTTATGCTATGGTGTTCCTATGGTTTTTAGTCTAGCTAAGAGACTGAACTAATGGACAGCTTCTGTGAATGATCTCGTATATTTTTTGTTATTATTGATTGTATACTAATTATAATTGAAATAATGATTGATTTTATTAAACTGAAACGTGAATGTGAAGAACATGAACATCGTAACGAACACATTGAGATAACAATGGAAATATGTCATTATTTGAGTATTGCTATTTTGTCATTGTTCGTTATTGAGATTATTGTCAAAATCTACGCATTTGCACGTAACTTCTGGAATTTTCATCAAAACAAAATGGAATATTTGGATTCTATTATCGTTCTTGTGTCATTAGGTATTGATCTATATTTTTTAAGAGGTGAAGAAGCGGTAATTGGTCATCGAACATTGTTAATCATATCTTTTCGTCTATGGCGATTCGTTCGGATTATTAACAGTAAGTATAGACACAGAACACTGAAGCATGACTCTGCAACAGCTACTATAATTTCGAAAGAATATGGGGAAAGACGAAATTTTAAAATATCATTAAATGATATAATCAAAAAAACCATATTCAAATCGTATTTTCCGATTTCTTTATTTCTAACAGTTAATAAATAAATCCTCAAACATATTTTAAATACAGGTAAGTTCTTTTGTCAAAATACAGAATCATAAAGTTAATTTAAATACAGCACTGCACTGAACAACCGAGGTCGCATGCTACTGTAACTAAAACATTAATTAATTTTTGTTTTATAATGAAAAATAGGTGTTGCACAAATCATTAGAGATGAAGATAAGAAAATAAAACAACGTCTAGTTAAAAAATATGTAATTCTTGTTCACCGACTACTTGCTATTATTATTCAGAAGACTCAATATACTCAACAAATAATTGACGATGACAACAATGACAGAGTTAAAGAAAAACTTGATCTTATTATCAAAAAATTTCAAGAAATTGATCAAACATGTGAACAAGAAATCAATAAACTGAACCATGAATTAAAAGTCATCGCTCAAGTAGCTGATCAATTGCAGACAATCGAATTCTAAATAGTATATTTGCATGGGATGTTTCTGATATAGTCAATTATTCTTTAGTCTTTTATTAGTAGTTTTATACAGTACCGGTTATTTTATTTTTCTATTTTGCAAAAATTTATATTTTTTCATTTATACGAATTTTGTATTAACACGAAGACTTCATTATATAACAAAACTATGTAATACATTGTTTGCTCTTTGCCGATTTAGTTGTCGAAACCAGAAGTTACGATCAATAGATTGCTCTAGTTTCAACTTTAAAGAGTGAACTATCCACCGCTCAAAACTTCGTTACTACACTTTATCTATCATTAAAGAAAAGTAACAGTCACGGTTAGTTTTCGCAACATTTCACTTAATTAAAAAAAATAACCAAAGAATTGTGATTCCCTTATATAAAATATTTAAGCCATGACGAATAATACGTCAGAAATTGTTTTCATTATAGTTTAAAAAGTCTATAGTACCTGTGAAAAGTATTCCATTATCAGCAGATGATGGAATAAGTGCTTATCGAGTAAAATTACAAGTATTTGCATTGTTTTCAAGTTAATATTTTTATTATTTCTCTATTGTCGCTTAACAGAAAGTAGTATCGATAGAGTGCATCACGCGTTCAAAAACTGCATTTTGATCTCAATGTGCTCATTGAGTTTGACATCCGAAAAAGCCTAGAAAGCCAAGTTTTTAGAACCAAGAATTCCAAGCAAAATGTTCTATAAAAATCAATCGTTTCTTAATTTTCTTTGTTGTGCCGACGTATTCTGTTCTCTTGATGTGAGTTGCGTCAGTCGAAAGAGCGCAATAACTGAATAAAACGTGCTGCTTCACAGTTTTTCAAACTTGTAAAGGAGGTAGAAAAAGCCAATGAAACAAAATTTTGAAAAGTAAAAAGACCTAAATTTTCAGTAAAGAAACATTTTCAGCTATCAGACTTCATTCGGTTAAACCAGAGCCCTGCAGGTTGCCAATATTTGGCAACCTATAACCTAACCTATAAAAAATTTCACAACCTAATCCTAACCTAACCATTGAAAAAAAAAATAGAACAACCTATAACCTAACCTAGCCTAT